AAAACATGAACTGGGAGCTGATTGTTTGACGTGTTTTGTTGGCTGGGCATATCTGGGGGAGAGTGAACACCTGCCGGGCAGACGCGGACTCTATGCAAAGATGGCTCTGCAGGGAAGTCAGGCGCAAACTGGGGCTCCGTTGTCTGCGGCCCCAACCTCCGATATCTATGCAGATCTTCAGGTGTTAGGCGCAGACCGTAGACCTTGGACTTTACACCCTAAACATCTAACCAGCCAGCTCGAATCTTACCGCCGGCTGGCTTGTAACAGTTTTGTTGATCGCCGCAGGGCAGCTAAGCAGAAAGGTGCCTGAGATAGCTGCGGCATAGAAGCCCCCATGCCAAAGTGAATAAACCCTATAGGCCAATAAACCCTAAACCCTAGAACTTCAAGCTTCTTGGTATTTGTTGTGACAGGAGTCAACCACCGGTGCCCAGCCAAAAGCTGAGGACCGGGGGCAGCGATGCATGTCTTCGGTCGATGCATGAGAAGAAGACATGCAACGTGGTACTGCTAGTATGTTCCACTACTATCATTCTTCCTGTTGTCCTTAGTATTACTACTGTTACCATGAATAACAGTATGAAGATTTATACTAGTATTGATATAACTACTTTAACTTCTATTACTGTTACGATGATGATGATGATTTGTTGCTATTATTGTCATGACTATTATTCGTTTTCATTACTACATCGTGGTTCTTCTTCTCACTATTCATGTTATCACTGTCAGTATGGAGTCAATCAGGCCAGCTGACATTACCCCGGTCCCAGAGCCCAAGCCGTGCGGTCATTCAAGTAACTTTGCCTGCTTGCAGGACGAAAGGCTCGACTCAGCGAACAGCATCTCTCCAGCAATCTCTGTTGTATGGCATTCGACGGAGCAACGGAAGATGAGGCATCGTAGGATGTCTCAGTCCCAGCTAGTGTTTCGCATATCTTCCACAAAGCTTGCTGCAACGGGTTTGTTTGACGTGGAATGTAACCACTTTTCATGTCCTCAGATAGTGCTTACCACGCCAGCTTTGATTTCGTGAAGTTGTTTTATTGCGAAACACGTCTTACACATGAAGAGTGGTAGTAGTATAGACATGTGTAGGCAGTGAGACAGGCCAAAGCAGTCTCCTCATACAGGAATTATGTTTTCATTTTTGTTCATAGAAACCCAAGAGAATACTCACTCTAGTTTTTTTTATTATGGTTCTAAGGGGGGTATAGAAAAGAGAATGGGTGGATAGGCTTGGCGTGAGCCCCCAACTTGTCGGGGCTAAGACCTCCATGACAATGGGGTAGTGGACTCTTATTTCAGCATTACGTCTCCTACTCCTGGTTCCTTTTTGGGAATTGTTAAGGATTTCTTTTAAGGGTTCCTTTAAAGGGTTCCTTTTTGGGGTCCCTTGTCCGAGTTCTAAACCGGACCTGAGGTCTTAAACCTTGAACTAGTCCTGTAAGCAATATCGCTCGAGGTTCCCGCAGCTGTCGGAACACGAACACCGTGTCCCCGCGCTTTATGCGCGGCCTTCGCTTGCCGCCTCTAGCTTCGTGTCGGCAAAGTGCAAAACAAAGCATTATAGGGGCCGAAATAGTAATCTAAGGGCTCCTGACTCTATTTATGGCATAAGATGCCCCAAAACGCTTCCCTACTTACCAAGGCCTTGATATTGTAGAGATTCTGGCTCTCTTGTGGTTGAACTCAAAGTTGGGGTATCGGGCTGAAGCCTGTATGTTGTTGTGAATGTGTGGCGAAAAACTTGTCATGCCTCCATCTCTGAACCCCAAACTCAGCACAAGATTGTATGTTCTACCTGGACCCCCCAACTACCCTTTAATATACCCTAAATACCCACTATTAAGGACCATAAGGGCTTTATTAAAGGGTACTTGGGGGGTCCTGGGGTTTCTTTCGGGTTCTTAAGTGTGTTTAATCGAAGCTCCGACAAGGACAAGAGACCGCGCAGAGAACGAACACGATCAACCGGACACTGGTCAGCCTTCGTGTGCCTAGCTGTTGCCCACTGAGTTCTGAAGCCCACGACCTTGGCCGACCAGAAACTGTTCTTAGGGAGGTCTTGGTAAGGGACCAAACAGACTTCAGACAGACAAGTACAGGATAGTATAGGGCCTATCAGGGTCAACATGGATCAAGCATTTCCGGGCCTTGAAGCTCACTGAATCTAGACCTTCTGGAGTTCGAAGTGTCAAACCTTCTAACCGGGGGATGATGCAACAAGAGTTGTAAGAGTTGTCTCCCTCCGCCCCCCCCTCCCAAACGCAACACAGCAACGGCGGCAACACAGAAGATACGTTCCCATCAGGCATTGTCGCGCCCGACACCCAAAAAACTCTAAACCCTATTGCCCTATATCCTACACCCTAAACTCCTCAACCCTAAACCCAACAAACTCTAAACCCTATTGCCCTAAATCCTAAACCCTCAGCTCCTCAATCCTAAACCCAGCAAACTCTAAACCCTCTTACCCCAATGCTTGTCAAGGCCCAAACGCAGGGGGAGGACCCCGGCTTAAAACACCTACTCGAGGAGAAGACGGTGTGTTGTCTTTATAGTGAACCTCACAAAGTTGGAACATGAGTGTAGGATGATTAGTGCTTGGGTTCCCTCTACTTTACCTTAAGGGAATGGGGATAATGCTGTTCCGACTGTCTGGCTTCTACTGTAGAGGTTTGGGTGCTTGGGTTTAATTCAGGGTTTGCTAACTTCATACGGTTGATGATATAAATCCTTCATTACACATAATAAGGATTAGACCATGATTCCCATAGTTTAGGGTCCTTAAGGTAATGCAGGATTTATATCATCAAGAGTAATGTCTTCGGGGTTTAGTGGGCTGAGGGGTTCGGAGTTTAGGAGTTTCGGGGCCTGAGGATTGTACGGCTTCTGGGGGCTTTTGGAGGTTGAACCCAGAGACTCCAATATGCCTTAATTAAGGAATATTCCTTAAATTATGGTAGGATCCCTCATAAGATTTAAGGTATATTCCTTAATTAAGGGCTGTTGGAGTCTCCGGGAAAGGGCTTTGGGGTTCATGGTGGCGTAGGCTTTTGTGTAGCTTTTAACTTTCAACCGTTTAGTTGTGTTCTTAGGTTAAGGGAGTACTGAACTTATCCTCGGTAGGGTGCTAGAGGTTTAGACTCCAGGGTATTGATGGCCGTATTTTGGTCTCGGAGATCAGAAAATGCGGGACCCTAGTGCAGATGTAGATCTTAACCACAAGGATCCTCAGTATAAGCGGGATTTCAGACGACTCTGGATGTCATTTCTAGAATTTTCTCACACCCACGAGCTTATCGCCAGTGCTCCCTGTTGGAGTTTGTCGCTGTCTGGATCTCCGAGATGTGTTGGGGTTTTCTAAGGGGTACTTAGAAACATTTCTTTAATTTTGGGTTATTACAATCCCTAAGAAACAGCTAAAATTGTAATTTTTGCTAGGGTTCTAAGTTCAGTATAGTTTTGTTGGCTTCAAGGGGCGATCGCACAATTAAGAGGTAGCTTCGGAGGTAGGTCATGCTAGCCGAAGCCAGAGTTAAACCCTAAAGGCTGTAGCACTGGACACACGCAGACACACACACACACACAGACCTCTTGCATGCGGCGCGCACTTCACATGTACCCAGACTGTTGGATCTTCCCGTCTTGCTCATTGCATGGTGCTTGCTACCGCTTCTTGTATGGAGATAGCAACACCGCACAAACCGTTTCAAACAGGCCATCTGTGTTTTGCATGGCAAACTTTACATGCACGACCGCCCAGCGTATGTCGTAGCGCCTGCACTTTGCAACTATCCCGACCCGGGGTGGCTTGTGAACGGAAGCACTTGCAAATTATTGCCCTCACGAAGCATTGTTCACCGGAGGAGATCCCTAGCAAATGGTTTCTGGATGATGAGCTTCCTGGCTTTGCCTTCTATATCCCCAAGCACTAAAATAAGAGCTTTAACCGAGGGTGCTTCTACATCATTCCAAGCCCGGCACCCTAAAGTCCTAGAAGGGATTGCTGACTCACAAGACGGTAGTTACAGTCGACAGTCATGTCTTCCAAAGTGACCGGCCGACGCATGAACTAACCGTTGCTGAAAGATATTATACTAGAAGACAGCGACGATCACTACTGCCCTCCCAAGCGCTTGCATGTTCAATCGCTGCCGAGAGCTTCTCAGCTAGATGTCGGAAATCCGCAGCTTTGAAAACCCTAAACCCTAAACCCTAGATCCTATGCTAACCCCACAACAGCTGTAGCCCGACTCGAACCTTTAAAGACTCATTGGGTAGGATATGACACCCAGGTCAACTTTGTCATTCGAGGGCTTCGGTCGCTTATCCTGAAACCCCACCCCTTAAAGCCTAAACCCTAAACCCTAAACCCCACCCCTTAAAGAAGGTTTAGGGTTTATAGGGTTTACCCTAGGGGGCTCAGGCCTTCCAGGGTCCCGGGATTTCCAACTTCAGGGCCCGCTGTTTCTTTGATCACGGGTCCTTAAGCTCCCAAGCCCACGGCCAGGCGAAAAAATGCCTCATTATCCCGCAGCAGCATAAAGCCGATCAAGCTATAGGCTAAAGCGGCTTAAAGTAAGTATCAAGCCCCAAAACGTCGGGCTAAGTTTGTATTGGGCACGTTTGAGTTGTCGATGTCTTCAACCCTGAAGCCCAACCGGAATCAGATAGCGTGGATTCAATTCTACTCTCTGCAGGTCGGGGGTGGAACGGCTGAAACCTCACTAGATCTCATCAGACTTGGAAGGAGCATCCCGGAAGGCACTTTTTCTTGCGACTAACGCAAAAAGTGCAAGCTTTCTTCGAAAGATAGCTGACCTATTTGCAGCCTATTATACATAGAATTCCGGACCTTTTTTTCTAGGAGCTAACATACACTCACTGCTTTTGGTGGTCGGGAGGGTGCAACACCCGCCACCGGTTGCGGAACAGTGCACAGGAAGTTTTGCCGGCGCGAAGTCCTCGAAGAGAATGTCATTGACGCAGAGATGTTAAAGAGAATCGACTTCTTCCGCAGCTTGGCTGAAACTTATAATTTAGTATTGGTGGTACCAAATACATATAGTAGTGGGGTATGTTGGTTCCGGACCGTAGTAGGCAGTACATAGCTAATTTTCATGCACGGCCCAGGGGACCTAAAATTTCGACATCGCGTTTCGGAGTCGGGGATTGTAGTGCATGGCTCTTGGTTAGTTCCCGGTTAAGAAAGTACATTAGTTAAGTACATGCACATATAACCCGAAACCCCAAGGCCAAAGGTTCAGTGTAATTAGGGTTTCGGGTTTAAGGTTGTGATAGCTGGCAATCTAGAATGTCTCGACAATCGACTCCCGTCCTTCCTGAGAGCAGCATTTTATGTCCACATGCTTCTCTCGAGGATTGACGTGCTAAGCACGAGGCGAAAAGTGTCTTGCACTTGTGGTACTTGGAAGGTCAGGGGACTTAGTAAGTCGTTTATAAGTAGGGTTATAATTGGGGTAACTCCATTTAGAATACTTATAACTCTTATAAACCCCCCCCCCCCCACTTACTAAGCCCCCTTCCCCTCCAAGTAGAGCGTAGACGTGCCCGTGTCAACAACCGTCGGCCTAATAGTTGCATCTTTTCTCTGCGATTTGTGCAAAAAGCTAGCGGCTTGTTGCTATGTCTGCTATGTCTCCCTGGTCGAACAGTACGGCAAACCCTCAACCCTAAACCCCTAAACCCTAAACCCTAAGGAGTTGATTATGATTGCAGGTCGAGATCTGGCTAGACTTGAGTCCAGTGGCAAAGAAGCGGTTTATGGAAGTAGTGCAAAGATGTGTGTCTACTGTACTGTATATATATATATATACATACATACACATATATGTATAAAATAATAAGTTACACTTGACGCAGGAGGCCTTTGTTCAGATTTGTAAGTCGCCAGCCATACAAACGTCACGTGCACACCTGCGCCCATGTTCCAGCCATTAAGGCGCCTATGTTGGGAAGCATAAGGACAGGACCCCTCTAAACCCTAAACCCTTATAGTACAGTTTTTGATCTCTTTAAAGGAACCCTTATGAGAAAGGGGCTGCTCAGAAGCCTTGCGTGAGCTTCCACCCTTTGGGGCCCTGAGCAAAATCGTGGGAAACCCAGGTAACTTCGGGCCAGCATTCTTGGATGAGCTGCTGAGCAGTCCGGAGCCGCGGCTCAGGGTCTGTTTTGTAAAGGTCCTGCCACGCAGGGTTTCGATTGCATTGGGATGTATGGTGTCGGGGTGCCCCAAACCGCAAAGTTGCGTGGGGATTTCGGGTTTTTGAGTGGCACACAGCAGTGTTGAGTCAACAAAGTTCTGATTGCGCAGCCGTCCTAGGGAGCCTCAAAAGACGGACGATGGAGTAGGACGCACCCCATAACGGCCTTCTAGTTCAAAGGACACTATAGTGATTTTTGAGAGCGGTATGTTCAGATCGACGACGACTGCATTTCCGATGACGAGATGGTGGGACCAAGTTCGGACCAAGGAGAGTAAAAGTAGGACTGATCAATAACCGCTCCAAAAAGGCAGCTGTGAACGTATTCGTCGAAGCTTGGCAGCTTTACTAAAAGCAACAACTGCAAGAAGAGCTAAGGAGTAATGGCACGAGGAAATCAGGGTATACAAGGTCGTGCTGAGAGTGAGGCTACGCATAGTCTTCAGGTTCTGATCATAAGGTTGACGTGGTTTCAAGGATGCAAGACGGGAAAACGAGTCAGAGCCACTCTTACCCAATCGCCTTTAGGCAAGAAGGCTTATTTTCGGAACATAGGAAAGCCGAGCCCCACAAGAGCCCCCTGAAAAACACTGGCTAAACCCTATCTGAAGAACCCCATGATGGGCATTTGCACCCTTCCGCAGCCTCCCCTAAAAAACCCAAACCCTCATCCCTAAACCCTAAACCATGACAAAGTGCTCGAACTGAGCCTGGAATTCGCAAATATGGACTTGTAACCCTGCTTCGCGTGTTCAGCCATGCAGGAGGCAAAAAAAAAACCTAAACCCTCATCCCTAAACCTTAAACCCTAAACCCTAAAACCCTATACCCTCATCCCTAAACCCTAAACCCCCCAAAAAAAGCCTAAAACCCTAAACCCTAAAACCGCCTCAACCCTGAAGCCATGAGATCCCAGGAGAGCATCCGAAAAGTGTTGGTCATGCCCGGCACGGTCCTGCTGCGTGAGGGAGCTCCTGGTGACAGCATGATGGTCGTCTCAAAGGGCTCCCCGGCCTGCAGTCTCTTCAATTAAAGTACGGTTATGGCATTGGTGCAGTATGTTGGTAGTATTTTGGCTGTATTTTGGTCGTTTTGTCTAGTATTTGAGCATCTTTAGAGTTCGTTTGTTTTGCATGGTGAAATAATACTACTACAGAAGTCGTAGGGAGTATCATCACCTGCATGACTACCAGAGCCCGGCAACATGCCAGTGTCGTTTCATGCCCTGAATGTGCCGGCCAGCTTTTTCAATCAGGAACTCTTTTCTTCTAGAGTCACAGTGTAAAGCCCTTCTGTAGCTCCAGCGTGGCACAAATTTAGGCGATCCAGCGGTGTCCCTAAACGCAGTAGCCCTAACCAAGCCTAAGCCTTAGATCCCTTCCCCCCATCCCAAAACAGTTCAGCCCTAAAGCCCCTCACCAAAAAAGACACGGACCTCTTGATCACTTGACTTGGACGTTTGTTGGTGTACATCACAAGGCCGCGTGGCTGCCTCGGTGAATGGTCGGGTGGTGAAGCACCTGGGAGAGGGCTCTTACTTTGGCTCCCTGGCAAAAATTCGACGATCCCTGAGTGTTAAAGGTCTTAGAGTATTTCACAAGTGTGTATCGGATTTCACACGGTTACATAAGAGCTCAAGAACTCCCCCGAAGAACGCCAATTAATGTGTGTATGTCAGGTGCTAGCGGGTCATAGGTTTATTGGTGATAGGTGTTTGGGATTTGCAAACTCCATATGTGTGCCCCTGACTTGATCTTGAAACCTCCCCCTCGCGACGTACAAGCCTCAAGCTTAAAAGGGCACGCCTTTAGTGATGGAGGCCATAAATGAGGCAACTACGCCTGCAAGCGCTTATTACCACGCTGATACCTAGCCATGGAAACCTTGTAACACCCTCCTGCACCTGAAGGACCAAATGACCCTTAAAAGTACGGGCCCGATGCGCATATACTATGAATCCCTATAATAATGGTATATGAACCTTAAACCCTCTTAGGGTTCATTTCGTCCTAAAGCTATGGAACCTAAACCTTATAAAGCGCAGCCAGCCTCCGTGTGCAGGAGAACTCGTGTTTTTGGGTGCAGCTCTCCTCCGCACAGCGACGGTGACTGCCACGACCTTCTGCGATGTGCGGATCATCTACAATCGCAGTTTCAAGAGGACTCTTAAATTAATCGGTGCTTAGTAGCAACCCTCTTCACAAATGCTCCCGGCAGTAGTCGTATGCACTCCTTGGTCATGGGCGGACATGCTGCTGCGATGATTTCGGTACAGCCAGTGCCAGCCAGGATCGCGGACAAGTATCCAGAGGCACCGACTCTCCAGGGGATCTGGCTTTGGTTGATTTTTGCTGATGACAGAATAGACTTGAAGAGGGACCTTCAAGTGTGTTCTCACGGCGTGCCCATTCAACTGTACTATACTTTACTCTATGCTCCCCAGCTTCGCCAACTGAGTCGCAAGACTTTGAATGCCGTCAGGCTTTTAATAAGAGCGTCGAGAGTCCAAGTGCAATCTAACGCAACCGTGCGCGTAACCCTCGTGGCTGCATTCATTTAACTGTCCAGAACGTCAGGTTCAGCACGAAGTTTGTATGCCCGCAGCCCTCAAGCCATCTTGCCCTGAAGCACGCGTTGAAGACATCGTAATTGCTGTGCTAAGAGGTCATAGACATAGTGTTTTGTAACCCCGACGCACATTGGCAGGTACAAGCTGCGCTCAACAAGTTTGATCTCGCGAACAGCGACCCGAGATTAAATGCCAAGGCGGGCCACAGCTCATTGTATGGGTCAACTCCCCCATTCACGTTCCTGCAGTAGTGGTTCTTCATTGTTGCTCTTCGGCTAGTGGGCGTTGCCGATCGCCACCGGTGAATCTGAAAATGCCGTCATCAGTAGCCAGTTTAACAGGTTGGCTGATTGACAAGCCGTGGATAGCGAGTAATTAGTGACAGGGTTGCTGTTAGCTTTGGAGTAGTCGTCGCCGTAGCAATAGCAGCAGCATCAGGAGTAGTAGTACAGGTAGTAGTAGTAGTAGTAGTAGTAGTAGTAGTAGTAGTAGTAGTAGTAGTAGTAGTAGTAGTGGTAGTAGTGGTAGTGGTAGTAGTAGCAGCCGTAGCAGTAGTAGTAGTAGTAGAGTAGTAGTAGTAGTAGTAGTAGTAGTAGTAGTAGTAGTAGTAGTAGTAGTCAGTAGTAGTAGTAGTAGTAGTAGTAGTAGTAGTAGTAGTAGTAGTAGTAGTAGTAGTAGTAGTAGTAGCAGTAGTAGTAGTAGTAGTAGCAGTAGTAGTAGTAGTAGTAGTAGTAGTAGTACTACTACTAGCAGCGGCAGCAGCAGGAGTTGTAGTAGCAGCAGCCGTAGTAGTAGAGCAGTAGTAGCAGTAGCAGCAGTAGCAGGCGCAGCCGCAGTCGCAGTGGCAGTAGCAGTAGCAGTTGTAGCAGTATGAGTAGTAGTAGTAGTAGTAGTAGTAGTAGTAGTAGTAGTAGTAGTAGTAGCAGTAGTAGTTGTTGTTGTCGTCGTAGTAGCCGTAGTAGCAGCAGTAACCGTCGCTATCGTTGTCTCACTTTTCGCCTACCTAATCGGCTCAATGTGGCTACGGACGGTTGATAAGGCTTTGGGTTTGGGATGGTTCACGGAGAGACATGTGTGTCATGTGTGTAAACATGACGACCAGCTTTGTCAAGCTCCGCGAGCAAACATCTAGGAAAATTGGGTGCGCAATCAAGAAGGCGTTGCCCACAACATGCCCCCAGCAGTCAAGAAATCTTTCGATTTATAGATATATTATGTACTATTTGAGGGTTACTTATGGACGCTCAGGGTGATCCCACTGCGTAGGATTGCAAGGTTTTTTGAAATTGCATTGCGGTCAGGCAGCCGGGAAGCTGGGCCGCGCATTGGCAGATGCTTTGGCGCAAGCCTTTCAGCGACCCGACTGTGACACCACCGGTTATGTTTGCAAATCCGCATCGTGGTGTTCCTTCGTGTCTGATTCGCCACAGAGACCGAAGCCTCAACCTCTGCTTAGACACTGCCTGTCACCTTCGCCCCCACCTCCTTGCTGCAGAGACTTGGTGTAACAAAAACTAGGACAACGACATTGTCGAGGCTCTAAAGGAATCTGGGCATGCGGCATGTGGGCGGCTATCCTGAAACCCAACGCTACCGCTACATTGATTGAGTTGAAACGGCGTGCTGAGTCCAGGAGCCTTCCGCGAGTCCCAGCTTATTGTGATCGAGTCATCTAAGCTCCTGGAAAATATGGAGCAGTTTGATTCTGTCGAGTTCCGTGGTGTGATTGTAGTACAATATCATCCGAAACTCGAGTCTAGTTATGAAGGCCCCTATCTGCGTTCGAGTCAGTAATGTTGACATATGATGCCGACTGTGCGGAAGTGGTGATGTCACGAGATGGTGATGATGTTGACGATGGCGAGGCGGAAATGGTGACCGTTATGATGGCGATGGTGGCGTTGTTGACGATGGTACTGACCACAAAGGCGTGAAGTTCCAGCTATGTGGCGGCATTGTGATTTAGTGATGTTGCTGGTGACAACAAGTGTGGTGATGATGTCGATCAGCATCTGATGATGAGGGTGGTGGCGGTGGTGATGTTGACGGTGATGGCCTGGTCAGTTCTGTTGGAGGCTCCGGGATAGCGTGGGTTTCTGGGAGGCCTCTCAGCTTGCTTGGTTGGTGCTACAGTAGCCCTGCAACCGCTCACTGAGGTCTATCCATGAAGCACAGCCACTTGGCAAGAAGCGGCTGACTTGTTGAGACGAGGGTTCAAGCACCACGAGCTTCCTCGTCTTTCAGAGAAACTGTTGTTTTGCTTCAGGTCAGCTCGGGGGAGAATAAGCAAGACAGAGTTCGGAGTAACGGAAGCTTGGACATAGCCTTCTTTCGTGTGCCGCAAGGTCCAGGACTTGTGCTGCAGTCTTCAGCATGAATCCGACTTGGCCGGGTCAACCTTCGAGTCTTTGAAAAAGAGCTTATGTAGGTAGTGTCAACCGTGCTTCCGTCTTGGCTGAGTGAAGCTTCGAGTCAATAGATGTTCGTAGTCATTCTTTCTCCTACCGAACTCCTACCAAATCTGATTGATATAATCCAAAGAGTTTGGTGCAACCAGGCTCGTTTATCTCTACACTCGCTGCAGATACCCAATATTCAGGGACCCAAACAGCACATAAGCATAAGCATTTCATAGGGATATCCCTACCTTATTGGGCTTCATTATAAGGTGCTTATATGGGACATACCATGACATCCCTATACTAATTTTGCTTACGCGCTTTTTCGGGGCCCTAAATATTACGCCTGGTGGAAGCTCTCCATCGAAATGCCAACTGTCGAGGAAGAGTGCCGCAACCCGATTGACTTTGAGCTCGTCGCCGCGGAAAACTTTCAGTCTTCCGAACAAGAAAGCCTAGGGTGCAGGACCTACCTTAACCCTGAAGAGCCTACCTTGTTAGGGTTCCTTATTACGATTTCCTTATGTAAGTCCGTAAAAACGTAGGTTCTTCAGGGTTAAGGTAGAGTTCAGGTAAGAAACTGGAAGCTGCAGCAGAGCAATGTTGAAAGAATGAGCAGATACACTGTGCCATCACCGTTACATGTGTAATCACCACTAACATTCTTATCCTGATACTATTCCCTTTGGTATTAATCCTCGGTTTATAGTAGAAGCCAGAAAGTTGGAACATGGCTTTAGGATGATTAGTGCTAGGATCCCTTATTCTTTACAGTGAGGCCATGAGTCATGAGGATAATGATGTTCCAACTTTCTGGCTGCTGCTATAAGATAAAGCTAAATCCCTACATGGGTGGTTGTCAAAATTAGGGTTCCTTTTTGGGTACCCTACATAATGGGTGCCGTACTATAATGGGGACCCCAAAAAGGGACCCTAATTTTGACCACCACCCTTACAGATCCCCTTTAGAGAACCCTTAAAGGATCCCTTTAAAGGTACCCCTAAACCCTTTATAGAACCCCCCCCCTTTATAGATCCCTGAAAGGCCCCTACTTGGAGGTTCATGGGTAGTTAGAAGTAGGGTTCTAAGTCCCCTAATATGGGTTATAAGTATAGGTACCCTGCTTATAACCCTACTTATAACTACCCTAAACCCTAATCCCTAAACCCTATAGATCCCTCTAAAGGAACCCTAAACCCATAAACCCACATCAGGGCTTCGGAAGCCTCAAAGCCAGTGCGCAGCCTGGCGACCGCAAGTCTCACTTGACCAGGCCAAGAGCTCGCTCTGACCTTTCCCTCAAGCCCTAAAAGCCCTTTCCCCTTAGGGTTTAGGGTTTAGGGTAACCCCTAACCCCTAAACCCTAGGACCCCTAAACCCCTAGAGCCCTAACCCCTTAAACCCCTAAACCCTAACCCCTAAAGCCCTAACCCCTATAAACTATAAACCCTAAACCCCTAAAACCCTAGGACGCCTAAACCCCTATAAAGCCTAAACCCCAAGCAGGGGCCCCATGACATAAGGGGATCTCTTCAGGGTTCCTTTACGTGTGCCTATTTGGGGCTCCTTTAAAGGATCTGTTAAAGGATCTCTAAAGGGTTCCTTTAGAGAGCTCCTTTAAGGGTGCCTTTAAGGATTCAAGGATTCCTTACGGGATCCTTGACGGGATCCCTTGAGGGATCTCTTAAAGTAACCCTTAATGGTACTATAGGGCCCTGCTCCGGGTTTCAGAATTGTGCTGCCACGGGTACTATAAGATTCTGTAGGGGTTAGGATACTATCACTAATCATCAATGTGGTAGTTCGGCGCCTTGAGCATATTCACAGTGTTTATCCAGGTTCAGGGGTATTTCGGCGTGTTGGGCCTTTTTCGTTTGTATATGGTCAGAACATTATGACCAGGACGGCGCACCTGCAGGTGTCCTTCTCGAAGAGCGAGCGAGCCGTGGGCTCATTTTAAAGTAGACACTAGCCACTAGCTCCAATTGCGTTCCTTTTCCTTCGCGGGTCCAAAAAACATGGACCCCCAATGCCTTGCTTCCCCTGACGGAGGTGGCTGTTCTATCCACTCCTTCAAGGAGTAGTCACAAGATGTCGTCCGTAAGGCACACGCATCCGAGACCGGAGTAACTAAGCCCCGACACCCGTCACCCTGAAGCACCTGGGTGGCTCAGTAGACGGCGCTGCTCCCGAGGCGGGTAGCATATTCCAGGTTCAATCAAATATGTGGGAGTTTCCGAAAATTAGGGGTACCATATTTTGGGGTCCTTATAATAAGGATCCTACTATTTAGGGTACTATATTGGGGTCCCCTATTTTCGGAAACTCCCATGTAATATCGGCTTAAGGCAGGTTCGTCGGGCCTCCCGGTGACTTCTGCGGCCTCGGTGCTCTGGTTGAGCTTCTAGATTGTCAATTTGTGCGCTGATTTATGGGAGTTTCCGAAATTGGGGTACCTTATTTTGGGGGTCCTTATAGTAAGGATCCTACTATATAGGGTACTAGATATATGTATGTACAAAAAATCGCAAATACATGTGTGTACATATACAGTTCAATGTGTGTTTCTATGTAATATGTGTATATGTGTA